ATGCGGACCTACAGGTATGCCATGAATTGAGGGGTGTTCACGAATGGCCTGAGCCAGCGGTTCAATCGCACAAGCAAACAAGATAGGCGACAACGGGCAACCTTGCCTTGTTCCTCGCGTGAGCTGAAAACTGGAGGAGGAGGAGCCATTAATACCCAAAAATGCAGATGGAGAATTATAGAGTGCCCTTATAGTGGTCAAGAATCTGGGGCCAAATCTAAAATTACTCAGCACTACAGCGAGATAAAGAGGCTCTACAGTATCAAATGCCTTCTCAATGTCGATAGAGAGGACTAGAGACGAGGCAATTTTTTCGGAGCGGCAGTACTGGATAATATCGATGGTCTTCCGGGTATTGTCTGCAATGTCCCTTCCAGGGATAAATCCTGTTTGATCTGGATGAATTAGAGAGCCGATAAACCTGTTTAGCCGTGCCACTAAAGTCGCGGCAAATATCTTGTAGTCCGTGTTGAGGAGTGATATGGGTCTATACGACCCCATGCTGGTACGATCACGATCTTTCTTTGGGATGAGTATTATCTTCACCTGATTCCATGTAGGAGGGATAGGAGTGCCACTCATGATGGCGTTACATGTAGAGGCAAGTTGAGGTGCTAGTATATTGCTAAATTTCTTAAAAAATTCTGAAGTATAGCCATCACATCCTGGAGATTTCTTGTTTTGCAGACATTTGATTGTGTTTTCAATTTCATAGGAGGAGATCGGTCTTTCCATTAATTCCTTATCACTGGGTGTTAAGCTTGCGGATAGTGGATGAACAGATAAAAATGAGTGTATTGCTTCCATATCTGGATTTCTGGAAGCATAAAGATCTTGGTAAAAGCTATGAAAAGAGGCAAGTATGTCATTCGTGGAATGACGAAAAATATCATTCTTGTCACAGACGGATGAGATTAGTGGTTCTAATAACCCTTAATCCCTAACTTGGGCCACATGATAGGGGTGGGGCAGCCTACCAGCACCCCAGTGGAGGGCCTTGTTGTTGCTCCGGCGTGGCTTTTTTCCCCCTTCTTTCCAGATGATCTCTTGGCATTTTTGCAGGATGACTGTTTGTCGGTGAGACCGCGCAGGCGCACGACCCCTGCCCGCTTCTTGGCCTCGGCTCTGTCCAATTCAGGCTCCGCCTTAGCCAATCAATGCACCCACTCAGCCCGCCAAATGTTTGCTCTGCCCATACCACTGCCCACTAACACCTGCATACTGATGGTTGCACTATCTAGAAGCTGCGTGGACAACAAGGTCACATAAAACAATGAGATCACATTCTTCCCAAGGAGCACCCGGGAGGCTTCTGCGTGAGAACCGTTACACGCCGGCACTAACCAAGCCAAGCTGACATTCACTCCCCCACCCCAATAGGCAGTAGAGATGGTAAACAAGCCAGGCAAGAAATATGGAAGAATGCATATGACTGTGAGAACATATTGTGTAAGCAAAAGGGAACTCTTGGCGAGCGAGGCCCACGCTTGACACCATCCTTCCTACATGCTTTTGGAAACCAGAGAGAGCCGGCTGGGGAGGCTTCCCCAGGAGAGGGCTGCACACTGAGACGCCACCACAGACAGAGGCCCACCCTCCCTGGGGGCCCTCGGAAGGCGAGAGGGCCCAGATTCATGGCCCCAAGCAAGTCTGTGGCAAGGCAAGTCCCTCCCGAAAGCAAAGCCTTCTCCCTCTGCTTTCCCTGTGCCCATTTATGCCCCCCCTCCCCTTCCCCTAGGAGCCTAAGGAAGCTGACGAAGGACAAATCCCATAGGATGGTGTTCCTAGGATCATTTCATGCTGGTGGTTTCCCAGGACAATGCTGCCCTCAGCCCAAAAAAGACTCAGAAGAGCAGAACTCAAATTACAAGGCTGACCGTTTATTTTCAAAGGGCCATTTATTTTTAAGGAAGGCGAGAGTTTGTTGTAATACTGATCCCTTGTAAGCAGAAACTAGAGAACATATTTTACTGCCTTGGTCCTGGCAATACAGTAGTGAATTTTTGGCACGTTGTTTCAATTTCAGCTCACTAGAGGGCAGAGAACACCCAGGCTAAGAGGCCGGCATTTCCCAAGGAGTCCAGAGGGGGACCGTCTGATCCGCTCCGGCCAGGGTCTGGGCTGTCGGTGCTTTGCAGCCCTGATGCTGCTGCATCCCACTTGTGGCTTCCAGCCAGGGGAGCCCACTGGGGACTCCAGGCAACAGCCGGCACAATCCCTTCCTCTTGGTCTGCATGGATGCAGCAGGATGGTGCTGGTTATTTCATACCACAGTTCTCCAAGTCTTCCAGGGACTAAAGTGCTTTTCAACTCTGTCGCCTGTTTCCCACCACGCCGGATGGCAGCCGAGCCTTCTTTCCTTGCCTCTCTCACAACCGGGCTCCGTGAGGCAAAGCTCTTGAGCAGCAGAA